GCAGGTTATCAGGTTTTTCAAAATGATGGGCAATAATTACCTAATTAGATAATCACATCAGGAGAGTGAGAATCACCCAAGTCTCAACAAAGAAGAGGTAAGGGAGCAAGGACTTCAGGCCCACATTATGAACACAGGTTTGTAGGGCAAGAAATACTCCAGTGCGACCCCTGGGAAAGGTGGTTGGTGGGAGCAGTATTCTTCGGGGTCAGAGATTGGGTATACAGAGGATTAACCCTGAATTTGCTCTAATATACACATCTATTTACGTCTACATTGACAGTACATCAGGGTTTTCTGGTACCTGATGGTAACAAATTACCTGCTGAGCACACTGGTATGGAGCGGCACTATAGCTGTGCACCATCTTTCACCATATTCTAAGTCCTGAAGCGTAAAACAATGTTCCTCTCACTCACTCTAGTTTGGCTTCTCTCATGGAGGAAAAGACATTGCCAGAATTATTTTAACAGCCAAAAGATAGAAATTACCCAAATGTGACATCATCAGAATAAATTGTAGTATATTAGCACAATGGAATGTTATACTGCAATGAAAACAGTCCACAGCCAAATCCAATATGGTTGACTCCCCAAAACAGAACGTTGAGCAAAGAAGCTAAGCACAACAAAAGCATACACTGTATTGTAATTCCATTAATATGAAGAACAAAAAACAAGCAATCTATGCTGTTAGAAGTCAGGATAGTAGTTATCCTCGAGGCTGCAGGGGGCTACTGGAAGACCCCTGTGCGTGTGTTGGAACAACTTACAGGATGGGAGTACTGTTGATATTCTGATGGCGAATCCAGGTGCTTGTTACATAGGTAACTACAATATGTGTACTTTTCTGTGTGCATATCTTTCAAAATAAAAGTGATACTCACTATATGTAAAAAGAGCAAGTACATATTTCACAACAGTACATTTACCATAGATCCGTTTTTTGTTGAAAAGCATGTGACTGTACATAACAATACTAGGCAGAATATACACTCAAATAGTGTTAATGATGGTTAGCTCTGGGTAATTCCCCCCCTGCCTTTTACCTATTTTAAAAAACCATTTTCCATACTTCCCATATTCTTTTTTGCAATGAACAACCTTTTTCTTTTTTAAATCCTCACCCAAAGATGTGTTTTTTAAATCAATTTTAGGGAGAGAGAAACATTGATTGGTTGTCTCCTGTAGAGTCAAAACCCGCAACCTTTTAGTGGGCAGAGGGCTCCAACCGAGCCACCTGGCCAGGGCTATGATGTATCACTTTTACAAAAACAAAACTATACCTAATTGCATTTTATAAACTGCAACATGTTAAGATTCCACACTCACTTTGGGACAAAGAAATGCTATTAAGTATACTAGAGAATGAAAAAAGAGATTAACCATCACTCAGCCAACCCTTAAAAAAATTTACAGAACAATTTTAGCACAAGCAAAATCCTTAATTGCAATTTGGGATTTGCATTCTCAACAATCTTCTGTGCGGCTAACCCCATAGATTATCAGGATTAGGTGAGTACCAGGATTACAGAAGCACACTCCAGACGTCTAGTAAACATGTTAGTGTTTTCTTACTAGGATGACTGTAAACCATTTACAATCATTACTCTTCAAGTCTGGAGGGAAAGGCAACACTTTCTAGGCCATGTGCTGCTCTTTGCTGGCTGCCCTCAGTTGTCTCTGTGCACCTCAAGTATGAATCACTCTTGAGAGCCTCACTTTTGAACTGAAATATGATTTGGTCTCACAGAGCTGCTCTGTTTCTTTATAAACCATAACACTGGACATCAGTGCATTTTAAAACCAACATTCATTATGAACTGGAATAAGACTATTTTGATGTTTATGAGCTAAATCTAAGAACATTTTTTATCAGTTAGTGAAGTTCATTAAATATGAAAACAGCTGGAATTTAAAGGATACCCATACCACTGGCTCACAGCTCTGCACCATGAGAATGGAAACCGCACTAGATTCATAGCCTCACCATGTGCTGTTGAAGCCAGATTTATAAAAGTCCAAAACCAAAATGCTTTTATTAATACTGGCTCTGAGAAATAGGGTATGTTTGCAGCACTCCTCAAAAGGCTGGAATTACCCCAAGAGCAGTGACTGGGACCTGCATCTCTAGCTTCCTAGAGCACACTGGCTGGCTGGCTGCCGTTGGCCCCTGCTGCTCAAAGCTACATTCTCCCTTATTTCCCTAGCTTCATCAACTCCTACTAAGGGGATACCTCTTTCGAGAAGTCCGTGTTTCCATTTTGAGAGAAGCTAAGGCAGCCTGCTCTAAGCAAATCCCTGTTTAGTATCCTCAGATTCAGGGATAAATGGTGCTACTTTTAAGTTTGAGTCCAACTATACTAATACTTGTCATCTTTTAAAAAACACAGTTAAAATCAGTAAACTAAGCAAACTGAAGACATCTTAGCTCCTTTAAGAGATTGCTCATCTTGATTGTATCATGACACTCCCCACTGTCAGTTTAAATAAGCTTAGTCTTTAAATGATTAGGGCAGTAGTATTCTGCAACACTGAACCCAGACATGATTAGATCTGAACTATTACCACCAGGGCTTACAGAAGTTGTTGTCAGGCAGATAATCCAGAAGCAGGGACAATAGCCATGTAAATCTGAGACACAGACACTACACATGTCCATTTCCTGTATGTCAGGAACAAAAAACTCAATCTCAGTATTCAAAAGCAGTCAAACCTTGGAGGAAACTTAAGCCTCAATCTCTTCACCTCAAATTCTGTGCTGCAAATACGTCCCACCCCTCAGCCCCTCACACTTACTAGTCTGTTCACTCTCTTCCCGCCCCAGTCACAACCTGAATATACTGGATTTGGAAGGATGGGGAAATGAAAAAATAATCCTACTGAGAAAACTTCACCAAGGCCCTTAAACGAGAGGGCTACATTAGATGAGCCAGCTGTCATGTTTTAAAAATGTCTTTCTACAAATACCATATGATCTCACTTTTATGCGGAATCTAATGAATAAAATAAACTGATGAATAGGATGGAACAGACATGGACTGACAGCTATCAGAGGGGAAGAAGAGAGGGGACTGGATGAAAAGTAAAGGGATTAGCCAAAGAAAATATATGCATAACCCACAGACTGAGACAACAGTGTGGTGATAGCAGAGGGAAGGGAGGGCTGGGTGGATATGGGCAAAGAGGGGGAAAATGGGGACATCTGTAAGAGGGTCAACAATTTTAAAAAAAGTTAAAAACAACAAAAAAACCTTTCTAAACCTGGCTGACCAGAACTACCTGTGGGACTTGGCCTGATTCCCAGGCTCCACTACAAAACTTCAGAATCAGACTCTCATGTGAAGCATGGACATTTTTACTTTAAAAATGCTTCTCAGATGATTCTGAGATTTGTGAACCAGTAAGAGAGAAATGGAGTGGTAACTCCTACTGTTGATAACTGATTTCCAAAACATTGACACTGCTACTGGAATTAAGGTCCCTTTATACCTGTCCTTTCATGTACTATGTGAAGATGGGGGATAGGGGTGGGAGTGGAATTAATTCCCCACTGATTGTCTTCCCACATGGAGGGAATCTGGCTAGTATTTCTCTAAAAGGACAGACCACAGCTGCACTTAGGGCTGGATAACTGATTATGTGGTACTATCCAGCATAGTGTAGGACATTTACCATCCCTGACTCTTATTCTTGAATGCCAACAGTGGGTTCCTATTCGTTGAGAGAACCGAAAAACACATCCCTCACATTCCTATCTCCCTACCCTTCACATTAAGTTCCACTTTTGGAGGGAGAAAGGGTCTGTCCAATAGGTGACTTTAGGAGGAGCCAGCCCTTCCCTCTCTTCTCTTTTGTACCTACCTGGCCACAGAGGAAGCAGTCTAGCCTAAGGTTTCCCACTTGGCTGTCTCCTCCTGTCAGATCTGAACTAAGGTGTGGTCTCCACTCTAGAAGGGGAAAAGGGGGCTTCTACCTTTAGCCTTTAGCCTTAGCCTTTAGGCTAAGATGTACTTAGCCTTAGCCTTTAGGCTAAGATGTATTTAGCCTAAAAATAAATACATCTTAGAATAAAAGAAGTTAATTTAGTTATTTTACGGAATATAAACACGATCATAATTCTCTGACATTTTAAAGATGCCTTTCACTCTCTATTTTAAGAAAATACTGCTGTTTATTTAAAGAGAAAGAACTTTGACGAACATTTTTTATTGAAGAGTTTTATTCTGTCTCAGAATAGGAACCTTGCTTTAATATTGTAAGGTGCACTGCAGGTATGCCATGCTGCCAATTATTACTGGAGCACCAAATGCCCTAGTCAGTGACCCAGAGAGCTTGGAAAATGCAAGAATTCATACCTTTAGAGCATGTAAAACTGGTATTTACAGTTTTTCTTCTTGAAATCAGCCAAGGACATCTAAGACAGTCTACAGGTATTGACATAGCACTTGCTTTGATGTTCAGAATGCCTCAGAAATGTGTTCAATGTCATGATTTGTGGGTTCTCTAAAAGGCTTTGTTGCTAACATGCAAGCAAACAGTATTAAGCGATATCATCTAAATTATGGCTGCCAAGTACTGAAGTTTAATTATGAAACCAAATTACAAAACATTTTCTTGTACAGCTATACAAAAGATATAAAATTTAAAATATCAACCATCTTTAAATACTCCATTTCTCCTATAGTGCCGTTTCCCACATCTTTATCACTACTAAATAGTTTAAGGAGAAAGTTAATAAAATCAAGAGATAAAAATATTTAAATCTTTGGATCCCTTTATTCCATGGCCTTCATAAAAACACAGAAGTGGCCAGATTTCCTCCCCCCTTCACTATAGCTTAAAATATAAAAAAAGATTTACTAGTAATTATATTAGCAATGAACTCTGTTCTGAGTCACTAGTGGATTATAGGACTAAGACCAGTGTTATGGTATCTCATAGTTGCCAAAATAATTTCTACACTCCGACTCCTCTTGAAATATAATGGAATGAGTCAACTTATCAGACAAAATTCCAGGCATTATCAGAAAGACAGGTTAATTGATGCCTAGTTTTATTGTTTTAAAAAGGGGGGGGGATTATTTGAAAATACAGCTAAGTACATTCTTATCTATGATTATTTACATTCATATACTGAAAATATCTATTATTTGGACAAATCCTGTGATACGCCATTTACTATAAAGTTCTTACAATGAGCATGAGTAATTTATCCTTTTTATGTAAAGAATGTATCAAATCTTCATTTGTGTTCCAAACATTAAAAAAGAAATGAAAATAAAAAATCTTAAGCCTGGAAAACTATGAAAAAAAGACCCATCCATATCTCTGCTCTTCAGCACATCAACTTCTGCAAGGACACAGTATGTTTGCTGACTTTAAAATGTTTATTCTTTAAAAAATTAGTTGCTTTTTATACAGCTATACAAAGTTCTTAATGTTTCTTTGGCAATGGAATATAATGGAATTTTACAACTATATAAAAAAGTTACCTTTGCCTAAGAAACAGTATTTACTGTGTGTACATAGTTCACTGACAAAATTCTCTACCTTCCAGCAACCTAATTAATTGACTAAAGGGTGTTACAGTGTTTTCAAAAAGAAAGAAAGGAAGGTAAAAAGACACGCGCGCGCACACACACACACACAACCTTCTGTGGCTCAAAACACAGAATCACGGCCTTATCTGCAGGCAAGCTGCAATAATTGCCAAATACAATTTAATGATAAGAAAAATCCTTTCAGTGATGAAAAAATACTTTTATAAGTTCCGCTGAAGTACTTACTGCTTTAGTTTAACTATACATAAGAAATTACTTAACCTTCTGCTATTTCAAATATATTTAATGCTCATTTTTAAAGATGAGCTGCCCCACCCTTGCCCAATATAACTGCATTGTATCTTTGAAATTAAGCAGAAAAACCAACCAAACAGACAAACAAAAACCCAGTGCTGGTGACAAATATACAGCGAATTCACTTCTTCATTCTTGGTAAAGACAGAAACCAATTCTCAGGACCTTGAAGGGCTAGAAATTCAACTATTTTCAAAGACTTGTTTGTAGACTATGCAGCAACTTTGTTGTCTTTCTAAAAAAGGAAAAAAAAATTAGCTCATGCTTCAAATTATTGGTTAATTAATACTTATTTCTTTCTAATTTGCTTAAATATATTTTACATTAACTTTAAACACACCCTCCTTTTACTTTCATGTACAAATCTGTACCACTGAGTTCCAAAAATACTTTCTACAACTTCTACACCCAGCAGGAGCTCATTATTTGTTAACTGCATTTTCTAATTAGTAGAATTTAAAGCAGCAGTGTTGTGGGCTGGTCCCAGCAAGAAGCACCCCCTTTGAAGATACAGATGTATCCCACTATCTTCGGCTGCCATTCTAATAATCTTTAAAAACAATGACAAAAATTTCAACCTTCAACATACCATTCAAGTTCATCAAATACAACGAACATATTTTGGAAGATTAATAAAATCTTAATAAAATCTAAGTTTCTGACACCTTAACTAAGTAATAAAATGACAGTAAAATAACATTTCTTGCCAAAGGGTCATGCCAGAAGCAAGCAGCGATTTAGAAATTCATTTTAAAGGATAACTTTTACATTTGAGTAAGTTCTGAAAATCAGAGAGTTGACTGGGAAATTAAAAAAACCAGGGAAAAAAGCAGTAAAAACCTCAAGGAGAGCCCTGGCTGGTATGGCTCAATGGATTGAGTGCTGGTCTAGGAACAAAAGGGTCATAGGTTCGATTCCCAGTTAGGACACATGCCTGGGCTGCGGGCCAAGTCCCCAGCTGGGGGCATGCAAAAAGCAACCACACATTGATGTTTCTCTCCCTTTCTTTCTCCCTCCCGTCCCCTCTAAAAAATAAATTAAAAAAATTTTAAGCAAACAAACAAACAAAACTTCATGGAGCTTCTAGCTTTCCAGTGAGACTAAACTTAAACTAAAGGCCTGTACACACATAGCATCAGATACACGGGCTTCCATTTTCCTCAGGACTGGTTACTAACACATACCTGGCTTTTACTGCTGATTCTCACACCCCATTAGAAATACACATATCCTGTTAAGGACTTAACTTGATTTCTGCATACAACACCAAACCATCTGCATAATGTTATTAAATTGGAATATATCTATATAGCATGGTGTAAGTTGGTGCTGAAAGAATTAAACTGTAGATGATTCTGCCAATGATCCTACCACCTGCCCCCACAAAGCCAATTTTCATATGTTCCGATTTCTTTAATCTTTCAGAAAGCTATCTGATTAATCCAGACATATTAAGGTCCAAAAGCTGTAGTTTTCTGAAAGGGGAAAGAAAAACAAAACAAAACAAAAAAAGCAAGAAAGAAGAGAGAGGATGAAGGAGAGACAGAGAGGAGAAAAAGGTGAAAGGGATGGAGAGAACCACAATGAGTCATTTCAGACACCCCACTGTGCCTGGACACTCATTTGGGAGGCAGTTTGTCTCATCTACCCTGGTAGCTTAACCTCTTAGTAGAAGCACATAAAAGACACATAAGAGGACAGGGGCTGAGTGTCCTCTTATTATCCTTGGCCTGATTTCTTCCCTTCAAAGAAAAGAAAGAAAATTGCACTGGAAGTCAAAGAGTAAGTTCTGGCTTTACTGTATATATAAGATTGTACCTGTATCAGGAAGAGTTAACCTCTCTGGGTCCTTGGTTTCCTAACTGTGTACTGGGGTGGGGTGGGAGAGAGGTTCAAGTTTTGCTAATATTTCTAAAGAGTTCTAAAAATCAATAATCCTATCAAACCCATGTTTTCACTAAACAATCAGATTTGCTTATGCTCATCCTAAAAATGTAATGCTTCATGCCACAAAAAACAAAGCCAACCATTACATGAAGGCTGCTGCAAATGCCACTGACATCCACCACTGAGAAGTATTAGATATTTGAGAAGTGAGTTTAATCCTTGCAGGCCAATCTCCTTAATCTAACAGTCATCACTCACTATTTCTACCTTTATAGGTGGTAGATGATATGATTTAGAAGGCACAGGCTGCTGAGAAGGCCAGGGCTCTCCTGGCAGAGAGAAGGGTCATTCAACTTTGGAATGGACAGTCAAGGGCTGGCCACATTGATGGACTTTCGGCATCATTAAAGGCTAAAGTAGTGTACTTCCAAGTAACGTATGCTACGCATTTACTTTAAGCCCATTATGCTCCATGCTGAGCAAGGTCTTTTGGTGAAAAATGTAGAATACATAGTCATGATGCCAAGAGGCTTGCATCTAGGTGGTGATACAGAACAAAACACTATGCTATAAGGAACATGAATGTATTTAAAATGTATGCTAATGAAAGCAGATACTACAGGAGGTGAGAAAAAGAAATCAGTGGAGGAAGGAAGAGAAGTTTCCAAGGATAAAGGAAACCTTGTGCAAGAATGTGACGGGTAAGTGAAAAGGAGATCCTGACTTTTGCTGTGTCTGACTCTCCACTGTACTATAAACACCAAGAAGGCCGGGATGGACTGAGTCTGTTCTGCTTAGCAGCAATGTCCAGCTCAGTACTTGGCATCTAAGAAGAATTCAATATATTTGGTCAATGAATGAGGTCAGAGTTGGAATCAAGCACAGTTTTTGTAAGAGATGCCCATGAATCAACTTGCTTGGATAAGTTAAAGGGTAATGAGAAATGGGGCTGGGTATGTCAAGTGGGAACCTCACAGTAAGAGGTGGCAATGCAACATCACATGAAAATCTTTTAATCACTAGGGCAATGTCTTAAAGAGTCCAGTGACTCTGTCACTCCTTGAAACACCCAAGATGATTTTGTCAGGGATACACTAGTGCAGAAAAAGGCTCATGAAGACTACGTCTACAATACATTCTAATTCTGCAATATACAGGATGGGGCAAGTAAGTTTATAGTTCATGTGGAAAATAATACAATACTTAATAAATAAGAATAAACTCTCATGTACCCACAACTGTAAACCTACTTTTGCTCTACAGTGTATGGGGTAGGGGTTTTACCTAAAGGCTCAAAATGACTTAACAGTGAGACATGGCTTCAAAAAAATGTTTGCACTGGTAAGTGCATATACCACACATGCCGTGATTACTCATAGTTTAGATATAGTGAAGTAACAGTCCAGTCTCACACCAACATGACAGCTATTCTTTTAAATATATAAAAAAATTATGAAGAGTATATATACTTTGTGTGTTTACAGAGTTTATAATAGTTTGAAGATATAGAAAAAAGATTTGCAATCAAACTGTGTGTATGTCTGTGAAATCCAAATACTTAGAGCATCCCTGGAGCAGGATGATGCCCTCAGGAAGAATAAGGCCCCAGCTCCTATAAGGGATACTACAGAAATAGTATACAGTTGGGCCAGGAGGTCAGACCTCTCACTTTCCAACTGAGACTTTTAATGATCTTTAAAAGGTGTATCTGAGATAAGACTATGCAGCTCTCTTACACAAATGTCAAAATTGAGAGCCTGAAAGGTTTAACAACTCAATTAAGGTCACCCTAGCAATAATTAACAAAAATTCTCATTGGGACCCAAGTCTACTTTAAACGTACTTTTTCTCAAACCAAGCTGACTCAATGCAGTCTTCAGTAAGTTGTCCTAAGTTCTTCAACAGGTAGATGATATGCTTGAAGTGAGGTAAAGAGAGAGAGGGTCTGAAGATCAATCGGGGGTTACTGTGGTAGTTGGCAGGGACATGTCAAAGGAATGAATGTACTGATGTGGAAATGGGCCACAACTGTGGATACTGCCACAACCCAGGAAACAAAAAGAATGGTTTATTACTAGCCAATCAAATACCGGGAAGAGGCAAAGCCTAGATGATCGGAAGACAAGAAGATGAGGAGGTCATTCTGAGGAAGGTTAAGTTTAAGTTGATCACAGACACAAAGCAGATGTGATGGAGCAATGCAGTTGGAAGCATACAAGGTCCAAGCTGAAAAACATATTAGAAGCTATGCATCCACAAACTCACAAAGGGAAAGTGGAAAGGGAAAGTGAAAGAGAGAGGAGGGAAGGAGGAATGGGAGGGAAGAAGGGAGAGGAGGGGAGGGGAGGGGAGAAGGGGGAAGATTAGGCGGGGGAAAGGGGGAAAGGGGAAAGGAGGGGGGAGGGCGAGAGAAAGAGAAAGAATGCTTTCAGACATGCCTGAACACTTGCCAGAGTGCAAACATGAGGATGAATGTTTGCAATAAGGAACAAACAGAATGTTCCAGGCAGAAGGAATAGATAAAAAGGCCCTGAGATAGGAATAAGCTTGTCACTAAACGAGAGCAAAGCCCACATTATCTGTGGCAGAGTTAAGGGAAGGGGAGACCCACTGGCTAAAAGGACTAGAGACAGCACTAGATTTAAACTGGAAAACAGGAAGAGCATGAAGCATCTTATAGACTGTATTGAGAAATGTGTTGTATTTAAAAAATCAAGAGTGTTAAAAAAAACAAGAAAGACTTCAAGTTGGGTGGTTGGTCATGAATGTCAAATATTGCAGGGGAATTAAGGGCAAATATCTGTGAAAAGGCTACTGAATTTTGTAAGCAAAATGTCACTGGCAAGAGCAGAAATAGTGGCAAGCAAAAAACATTTTCTAGTCTTCCAGGTGCTATGGCAATTTTGCAGAAGTGCTGCAATTCCACTAGACAACGATTACTGGAGAGACTGAGCTAATGACAAGGCAGTCTTGGCTGTGATAAGACAAATACCAAAGCCATCAAAATTAACAGATCAGACGCAAAAGTCACTAAAACTGAACATTTAAGAAGGATCTCAGCAACAGTCAGTTTTAAATATTGGACAATGAAATTCCTACCAGCAGGTCCTTTTGTGTCTAGCTGTTCTTGGCAATTCCTAGACCTCTTTACAAGGGGATTTTGATCTTTCTGTGAGTATATACCTTCCTCTCCACCATTCCTAAAAGTCAATAAACTAGGATAGTGACACTAATTTACAGACTCCTTTAAATGAATAACATATAAACATACTATACAGAGCTATACAATTTTTTAGCAACAGTTACCGAATGTCATTATGTCATGAGATTTTCAAGACCCTGGCAAAATAAAATGTAGTTGAGTTTTCCACAAAAGTAAATTAAGAGCATTGACTGAGGAACAAATTTACTAGGTTCAAGACTTAGCATCACTTACAAGCTGACCTTGGGCAAATTATTTATTATCTCTATACCTATTTCCTCATTTGTAAAATGGCGATTAAAAAAACCCTACACCACAGAGTTGCTGTGAGGTTTAAGTGAGTTAATATATGAAAAACATTTAGAACAATGTCTAGTAAGTGAAAAATAGTATAGAAATGTTAGCTGCTATTAAACACATAGGTTTGTCTTCTGTTATTAAGTATATCCTTCCTAGACTCTTTTGGTGTTAAAGCATACTTTGTAATCTGAAATACAGATGGTATAATTCTTTTTTGGATAGTGCCTTTAACGATCCCCTGAGCCTCCAGCAAAAAACAAAAACAAACAAACAAAAAAACCCTTTAAAATAGATAATTAAAAAAAAAATAATCCTAGGTCAGTCTTTAATAGTTTTTTGGGGGGAAATTTTACCAGTCCATAAAAATCTAAAACCACAGTTTTATAATAGACAAAAGATACTTATTACCCAAGAAGTTACTGCTCTGTAAAATTATATCAATATAATAATCAGGTGAAAATGAAAGTTATACAAATGCCCTAAGAATATTCACCCAAAATAAATAACACATGTTGAGTTTCACTGAAATGCATGCTGTTTGGCATGTAGTTTTATGAAAAGCATATATTTACCCTATATTCAAAATCTGCAAACTCCCTGCCCCCACGACCTCCTCTGAATCCACCACGGAATCCTCGAGGGGTGGTGAAGGTACCACCTCTGCCACCACCACGTCCTCGGCCACCACGGAAACCAAGACCTCTGCCTCTGTACCCCCCACGGCCACGGTTTGGACGAAGTGGGATTCCAAATGTTTCAGCATTTAATCTTCTTTCTTCAGCCCAGGTTGGTCTCCGTTCTCTATTATAAGAACAAATAATCTTTAGCGTATATCAAAGAACATTTTTAAAGGACATTTTCAAGAAAAACTATGTAGCACTAATTCCCAAATTAAGCAGAAGCAATTTCTAAAGATCAAGAATAAGCACCTTACCTAAGTCACCACAAGCTGTCCATGGCAATATTTCCTATCATATTGTTAAATTTCATGTGAAAATATGACTGGTATTTAGATTCTTACAAATATAGTTGATAAAACATGGTAACAGCACTGATATAATGGAATTGGCAATTAACTCCACCCTCCACTTAGCTCAAGTGGAAGAGAAGGCAAAGCCAGTAAAGGAAACTCTGTCTCAGGGATCTGGGAGTAGGAGGTAAATCCCTGAATTCCCACTATGATCCTGACCAATTCCTGAACTTGATGCATGAAGCAAGTGTCTGAATTGCTGCTGGAGTTCCTATCACAGAGCCCAATCACAGGACCCAGCATTATCCCCATTCATGTTTAAACTGAAGTAGACAACTGCCACCAGGTGGCACTAAATTGCAGCCAGAAGGGCAGTTTGGATTGGTCAGCAGAAACCCTGGGACTCTTAAGTTTGTTATGCTAGGTCCTTTACTTAACCTGACAATTTTCTGGATCCACATTAACTGAAATGTGGCAGAGTTTTACTACATTAGCAGACTTCAAAGTAACATTGGTACTTTTGGCCCTGGCTTTATTTGAACTACATTGTAGAGGGGTAAAGTAAAAGGTCTGTCTTAGATGTTAGATGACCATTTCTGTTTTAATCACTAATTCTAATTTTAGCACACTTATTTTCTTTCAGCAAAGTAAAACATTAAAAAATAAACCATTAGATATTTTTAAGTAGTCATTAAACTTTATGAATTTATAAGAAATAATTTCACACTTCAACCTCTTAAGAGCTGAAGAGCAGCTTAAAGGACTGTACCTATTATCATCACAAGAAATATTATCAAAGAAGGATTTAGTTTTGTCATAATAGCAATTAGGTCCAAGTGGATCTTCTTCATCTGCATTTCCTTCACTGTTTTGAGTATCTACTCCTGAGTCTCCTTTATCTTCGCCATTTACAGGCTTCTCTTGTTTCTCAAGTTTATCTTCTACTGAAAAAAAAAAAGGGGGCACATACCATAAAAGTCAAGACTTTTACTAAACAGCAATGATTCACAAGTCAAATAAGAGTATTTTCTGAGTAAAGTAAAAATTTACCTTTCAATTTAAGTTTATTATGAAATTCTCTGTCAATTTCTTCCTTGTTAAATTGTGCATTTGCACTTTCAAAGTCAAAGTCTTTCTCAAATTTCATAGGACCATCTCGCCGAATACCAAATCGTCCCCTGCCACCTCGATGACCCCCACGCCCTCTCCTTGGAGCTGAAGGAGCACCTGGAACTATGTTAATAAAGAAAAAATAAGCCAGTTTAAGACAGAAGCCATTATTGTAGTTTTTATGTTAAATGGTAAACAGAAATGCTTACAAGTCTCCATATATTATATTTGTATGTTTTATGTAAAAAGTGAAGTTTCATTAACATTTAATATATAGCACACATGAAATTCATATTTATGAGGTCCACACTCATATGTGTAACTGATACAACACACAGCCAATTTGGGAGACGTTAGTACAAAATTACTGTATACCCCTTGAGGGCAGAGGCTATGTTTTGCTCATATCAGTAACACCTACAGAGTACCAAACACAGAGTGTGTTCTCAAAATTTAGGAAGCTTTTTATGGAAAGGATCACAGGGACCAAAGGTATAGTAAGAAAAATAAATGAACATGAACAAGAACAAACTGCAAGGTAGGTGGTGTTATTTCTACATTACAGATAACACAAAAGACAAGAAGCACCAGGTCTTAACCAGTCCAACCCTTTTCTATTCCATCTTTATTGGTCTCCCTCTAAGTGGCTCCATATTATTCAAGTCTTTCTGTACCTAGTCTTTTTCTGCAATATAATATAATAATAGGATTTACAAGGTATGATAAAGCAACACAAAAGCAGCATGAATTATAGTGAAAGCTTGAGAACTCAAATATCCAATGTAAGAGTAATAGTTAAAAAAACAAAGCAAAACAGGAACACGGAATAGTACTTGATGTGAGTTAACAGAAACATACAGAGCACAAAACAGTATCAATTCAATGATTAGAATTATGTGTAATGTTTAATACATGCTGACAAAGATCAGAAGTGATTACAGAATGACAGGTTTGTGTTTACTAAAGTTTGGGTAACTGCCCAGGTTTGAGAAAATAAATCACAACCCCCCTGCAGCAGCACATCCAGACACTTAAATCTAGTTAAGCAGGATATTTAAAACATTAAACTTTACTATTAAAAATGTCTTGGCCAGAAGCCAGGAAGTACAGCATGATCTTTCTGTCTTAAAAAAAAAAAAAAAAGATTTAGCCCTGGCTGGTGTGGCTCAGCGGACAGAGTGCCAGCCTGTGAACCAAAGGGTTGCTGGTTCGATTCCCAGTCATGACACATGCCTGGGTTGTGGGCCAGGTCGCCGCTGGGAGTGTGCAAGAGGCAACCAGTTGATGTATCTCTCACGATGCATCTCTCACACACTGATGTTTCTCTCCTTCTCTCTCTCCCTCCCTTCACATCTGTCTAAAAAATAAATAAATAAAAATCTTTAAAATTAAAAAAGTTTAAATATAGTCTTTATCTGTAAAATTATAAGAGAAAAAAATCTAAAAGATTAGCCACTGCTCTGTTAATGAGGCTCTGGGTGATGAGTTTTGAAGAGAAGTGAAATATACTTTTATTTAGTATTTTAAATAATGTTTAAAAGATTTTATTTATTGATTTTAGAGAGATGGGAAGGGAAGGAGAAAGAGAGGGAGAGAAACATCAATGTGCAAGAGATACACAGATTGGTTGCCTCTCAAACACCTCTAACTGGGGACATGACCTGCAAACCAGGCATGAGCCCTGCCTGGGAACTGAACCTGTGAGGTTTTGGTTTGCAGGCAGGTGCTCAATCCACTGTGCCACTCCGGCCAAGGCATTATTTTATATAATTTTTTTTAAAGAAAGGAAGGTGGGGTGTAGAGGGGAGTGTGTGAAGGGGCGGGGGGCAGGCGCGCAAGCATGCACTGATGCAAGAGAGAAACATCAATTAGTTGCCTCCTACCCACGCCCCGATGAGGGAACCTGCAACCCTCTGGTACGTGGGATGAAGATCCAAACAGCTGAGCCACCCAGCCAGGGCTGTTTTATATTATTTTTAAATGATGACAGTATAGTAATTATTTCATCTTGAGAGAAGCGGTTCTTTTTCCAAATTAAAAAAAAAAGTGAAATATAATAAACTAGAAACTCTGTATCCTATGGCACACAGCACAAATAAAAACACATATAAAAGTGTACAGGACAAATGAGGGGTTTATACACTTAAAATATATCTAGCTTTCCAAAATTAAGTGAAAGATCACTTTCCAATTCTTACCCAAGTCAGGTGATTACATGTTGCCTTAATTTTTTAATTTGAAAGAGCTTTATTTATTTTCTACTAGTAAATTAGAAAATATTAATAAAATAGATAAATTTGGGATAAATAATATAGATTAAAAAATGGATAAAATATACAACCTTATTAAATAAGTGACCATGAGAGAAAGTTAGTTCTTGAACAATTACTTTAAAAAAAGGCTCAGGGCTTAAATAATTTTAATGAGAAAACATCAAACTTTTAAGGTACAGATAATTCTATTCTTAATAGCACAGAAAACAATGAAAACAATTTTATAATGCTAATATGAAACAGACACAAAAGTGTAAAAAATGAATATAAAAGATAGTACAAAAAAATGAAGCCACACAACTATGTAAATATTAAGTGGACAAATCCTATCAGCAGAGTAACATTCAAGAACATATCAAAAGACAAAATGCCTACTGTCAAGTAGGGTTTATTCCAGAAATGCAGTGATGCTTAAAAGAAACTTAATTTAAAATAACTAGGAAAAAACCCTTAAAAATTAGCAGAGTGGTCCTACACCCCCATCACCCAACTTCTCCTCTAAAGCTAACATTTTAGTTAACTACTATACATTATCAAAATCAGGAAATTGACACTGGCACAATACCATTAACCACATTACAGATCTCATTCAGTTTTCAACAATATTGTATATACTTATTTTTCAGCAGTCTTTATGTATAGTTCCATGACATTTTGCCACACATACAGATCCACACAACTACCCTCAAAAATAAGATAAAAAACTGTTTTGTAACCACAGTGAAACTCCCGAGCTACTCCTTTATAGCCACCAACCCTTGCCATTCATTTTTTTTAACTGTAATTATTCACTACACATTTCAAATGTTCTCTATTAACAAAGAAGCATAAAATATGGATTTCAGATCCAAGTAACTTACCTATTTGTCTCTTGTTATCATTTCTGAGTTGCTCATTTTCTGGTCTTGAAACTTTGTGTACTTCAGCTATAAAGGACACAGAGAGTAACAAATTAACTCAGGACACATAATCAAAAACTTCTGTAAAGTTAGAAATGAGGGGAAAAAAAAACCCCCAAAACAACCACTCCCAAATCTATACCCCCACCACCATCACTACTTTGAGCCAAATTTGAAAGAATGAACATTCTCTTAAGTTCAGTTTAAACCTTCTAGGATAATTCATATAAAGTGTATCTTTTTAATGAAAATAAGGTGAATGGAAAATGTTGATGAGTCAATTAAGGAATTAGTAAATAGCTAAAGTTCTACCTCGCCTGTGCTCTTGATTCTCTATTGCTTTTTGGCTGGTAGATGGTAAAGGCCTGGTTGATACAGGGCTCCTTCTCCCAACAGGTGCCGGAGCAGGTAAGTGGGCCGAGGCGGTCTGTACTGCTTGTTCCATGGTAGGACTTTTTCTCAAAGGATCTAACTGAGGGCTTGAACGACCTAAAACGTAACCAAAAGATAAGAAACTACCCTATCCTTTGGGGATTTCAAAATAAACTAGACCCTACAAAAAAAGTCCAGTTTTACTTCTACCAATTAAAATCCTTAGCACAAACTTGAGTTAATCTATGCACTAGTCCAGAGTTTAAAACTGATTCTCTTTAGTGGGCTGGTCATTTAAAGGAAAAAAAAAAAAAAAAGGTAAAAACAAAACAAAAACCCTGAAACAAAAAACTCTGGCATTCTACCTGTATTTCTACCCATTGAAATAAGGTTTAAATAAGTTTTTCAAAAATTTCGGCCTGGTACAAGATTCCCTAGGAGTACTACCCAAGATCATGCTGTAGGGTTAGATACCAGTTTCCCACAGTAACTATAACCACAAGATTCAATTGATACTTTAGCCATTATTTCCAGAGGCTTTGATATTTTTAGTACTTTCTGAAGATATGTCCAAAATGGTATCTTTATAGCTACAGGTACTAGCTCCAATAAATTATTTCTATGAAGGAAGTCAAGAACTACAAAGTTAGGCGAAGTTCTTCAATTCCTTAGGGGCTTGGGTAAACATTAATACTAAAAAGCCCTTCGGATAATTACACAGCAGTGATATTCATTCCTTGTCATTTAAATGATATCTTGTCAAGTTTTTGTTTAATATACGTTTTGTACTTACAAAATGAACAGAAGAATGCAATACCAGGTGCTCCCATCATACTTGTCCCTATATTGTTTGTGATAAATCTCTGTTCAAGGTGCTCTCATATCCTACCATACAGCACCAAAATATTTTGCTTAAAATAAATTATGTTCATTTTACTTAAAAACATCCCAAATATGCTGGAAATGTCACTAGCCACCTGTGCATATCTGCACAGGCTCCAAACAACTGGTGAACTGGTGAATGCTGACAAAGCATTGGTGGTTATGCACTGGATGCCTCAGCAACCATTTATTAGTAACGGTCCCCAACTTTATGGTTATCTAAAGTATGCAACTGCAAATGTGAATCACCATTTCCAGCTATTAATGCCAAAGTTTACTCTGCCATTAATAGAAACACTATTTACTTTCCCATTGGTTATAATGGGAAATCATGGAGGTTTATGTAAGTTTTGGTCAAGGAGAAGACATTTTGTAATCACTTAAACCTTACAAAGGGATTTAATTTATAAAATAAGAACTAAGTTTTCTGAAAATCCTATTGTTTAGTTAGTTTTATGATTCTACATCAAATAATTTTCTAAGTTTATAAAACTAACTTCATCAGACTTTTCTTTGTGAAAAGACCCTCTTGCAAGTATTGCAGAATCACAAGCAATAGGACAATCACAGCAAGTAAGAACTCATTTTTTGTGTACTTTAAAACCACTGTAATTAACATCTACTAGTCATGATGGCAATTTTGTTATAAATATGGAAATATAGACAATACTAGAAACATTATTAGGAATAAATACAATAGCTATTTTAGCATAACAACAACACACCTCTTGAGCTCACTTCACATTCTTGACACAGGTAAAAAAAATTCTAGGTGTTTTAATTTTATAAAATTCAGAAATTATAGCTGGTAAAGGTAAAAAGATTCCCAGGCCTTCTCTGCCATTCTTTATATAAATATACCCCCTTTCTTCTAATAAATATGTACTTAAATTTTTAAAAAAAATTTAGTTTAGTCCTAGGTATGAGGGAAGGAATCTAGTTAATTTTCCCCAAATGATCAGGCAGTTGTCTGTCTCAACACCATTTATTGAACAGCTAGTGTTTTTTAAAAAGAATTTTTTTTATTTCACTTTTCAAAGATTTTATTTATTTATTTTTAGAGAGGGGAAGGGAGGGAGAAAGAGAAACATCAGTGTGTGGCTGCCCCTTGCACGCCCCCTACTGGGGACCTGCCCTGCAACCCAGGCATGTGCCTCACACTGGGAATCGAACTGGCAGCCCCTCTGATTTGCAAGCTGGCACTCAATCCACTGAGCTACCCCGGCCAGGGCTAGACTTTCTCTAACTTAAAAATAGTATCTCTGTCATACATTAATTATTTATTTATACTGGGATGTGTTTCTGACTTTTGTTCCATTCATCCCTTAATTTATTCCTACAGTGCTTTATTTTACGCATATTTTATCAATGAGTAAGCCCTATCTTGTTGCTTTGATTTTTAAAATATGTAGTTATACTGCCATGTTTATTTTTTTAAAAAGATTTTATTTATTTTTTGAAAGAGAAGGGAGGGAGAAAGAAAGGGAGAGAAACATCGATTAGCTGCCTCTCCTATGCTCCCTGACTGGGGACCAAATCTACACCCCAGGCATGTACCCTACCAGGAATCTGGCAATGTTTTGCTTTGCATGATGATGCCCAACCGACTGAACCACACCGGTCAGGGCATCCACATTTATATTTAAGATAGTATATGCATGTGTTTAAATTCTCATATTATCTCATTTACATTTATTAGAAGTACAGTAAATTTAATTAATATGACAAGTAAAGCTTTCCCAATATTTTATCTCTGTATCTAGAAATAAGATGTTTTTCAAATTTTATTTTCTTATTCAGTCCCTCTATTACTGTTTATATTTTTCATCATAGAAGTTGGTCTTATTTCTCATTATGTATTTTATACATAATTTCTATTTCTCATTATTTTGAACATCCTATTTCATCCCCCTTACATAATTAGGTTAGGTTAGAAGACTATTGATTTTTGTATATTTACTTTACATTTTCCCTTTAAGTCCCTTATTATTTTTTCTTTAAAGATTTTAGTTATTTATTTTTAGAGAAAGTGAAAGAGAAAGAGGGAAACATCAATGTGTGGTTGCCTCTTGTGCACCCCCTACTGGGGACCTGGCATGCAACCCAAGCATGGGAGGCATGTGCTCTGACTGGGAATCGAACCAGCGACCCTTTGGTTCACAGGCCAAAGCTCAATCCACTGAGCCACACCAGCCAGGGCTAAGTCCCTTATTATTTCTAGGAATTCACTTTTCAGTGAATTCTTAATTCTAAGTAGAAAGTCATGGCATTAACAAATAATGTGGATCTTAATATCTATGCCTTTTTCCTTTTTCATGTGTTCCTAATTAGGCTAAAAATTCCAGAACAATGCTGAACAGTACTGATAATAGGCATCCTTATTTATGCTTTTAATAAGAATTCTTCTGGTGTTTTCATATTAAGGTTAATGCTGGTTATTAGTTATTAGCTAACATCTACTGATCATGTTCTACGTGGTAGACACTATCCTACGGGCACTGCATATATTAAAAAAAATTAATCCTCATAATAAGTCTGTTAGTTACCAGTAAAGTCTCATTTTATAGTTTAGGAAACTAATGCTTAAAAAGATTAAATATTTTCCCTAAGAAAAAATTAAAAAATAAAATAACAAACCAATACACATAATAAAAATACACAATCTAAAGAGAGTCTGGAAGTATGCACAAGAAAATATAAATATTTCTTATTTTTGGGTAGTGAGACTGTATTTTAATTTTCTTTCTTATGCTTACTGTATTTATAATCCATCTACAACAAATCTTTAGTATATTTTAAAAGTTATTTTAAATCAATATAAATAATAGTAACAACTATTTCAAAATATCTCAAGTGAAATAGAATTATGTTTAGCATTAGCTTGATTTTATCCTCAATTGCTTTTAAAAATATTGTCCTGTGATAACAGTATCTTTCTGAAAGGACTTCACACTGTTTTTATTGAAAAGTAAACATCCAGCCCTGGCTGGTGTGGCTCAGTGGATTGAGTGCCAGCCTAGGAACCTAAAGGTCACCAGTTCGATTCCCAGTCAGGGCACATGCCTATTTGTGGTCCAGGTCTGCAGTTGGACTAATGTTTCTCTTAAACATAGCTGTTTCTCTCCCTCTCTTTCTCCTGCCCTTCCCCTCTCTCTATATTGGGGGGCGGGGGTGGAAGTAAATACCCATATAAAGCAGTGAGCTAATAATATCTATTTTGGCAGCAGATAAAATAGGTATGAAATCTTGGGAGCCCTTAAGGCTGTAAGACTGGGTGGGGGTAAAAAAAAATAAAAAAAGAAACAGAATAGTTTAAGCATCTTATTTAAGATGCAGACCCCACAAGCTCCAGGGATTCTGATATAGCAGTTCTCAGGATCTACATTTTTAAGCACTCTAGGTAATTCCAGTTGTGGGTGGTCCACAATGAGAACTACTGCTCTAGATCAGTGACATTCAACCTTTTTCATCTCATAGCACACAAAACAATTACCAAAATTCTGTGGCACACCAAAAATATTTATTTTTTACCAATCTGACAAAATACACTTGTAATTTTGATCCATTCACACTGGGACAGCTACTGTTATGTTGGCTACTGCCATTTTTTTGACAATCTCAGGGGAAGAGGTCAGTGCCCCTGACTAAATAGTCTGGTATTGCATGTTTTTAAAATTTGTTTTTAATTGCTTTTTTTGATGAGAGGGAGGAAGGGAGCGAGAGTGTGAGACAGAGAGAGAGAGAGAGACATCAATTTGTTGTTCCATTTATTTATGCATTCATTAGTTGATTTTTGTACGTGCCCTGACTGGTGATCAACCCTGCAACTTTGGTGTATCAGGTTGACACTCTAGCCAACTGAACTACCCGGCCAGGGCCTAAAAATTCTTGCAGCACACTGGCTGAAAATCACTGATCTAAATCCCGTGAGGATGGTACGAAAGATGCAAGAGCATAATGAGTAATTTGTTTTTTCATCTGTTTATTTCAAATTCATTAAGGAGAGTTCATCTTCAGTGATAACTCGAATTAATTTGATATACTTAAGTATTATTATACAATTTATATTATACTTGTTTTGCAAAAAAGTCAAACTTACAGAAAATTCACTGCTTCAGTTTTATGATCTAAGAATTGTAAAAAGTCTAAATAGTAGAAGTCATTCTTTAATATACTTATTGCAACAGCAATTAAGAGAAAAATTTTAAAAGAACCAAATAGAAATTATACATGTGATTTACAAGCTGCAAAATTTCTTACATTCACAGAGGGTAAAAACCACTATAGAAGTTTAGAATGAAAATATTTGAAGGAAAAAACAGCTTACCTTGAGATAACTGTGTTTTTACAGATCTTGTATCCTGTGTAAAGGCTGAACCAACTGCACTACTTTGGGATAAGGTACCACTGTTTGATGTTTCTGTTCCAAAGGATGTCAAGGAGCTTCCAGCTTTAAGAGATTTTTTTTAATGACAAAAAAATCTTTTTTAAAATTTTAAACCATTCAGTTATATTTAGTCACATACTATTTTAATAATTTTCACCACCCTCCTGTATCACAAATTGATCACCCTAGAAATTAATGAAAGTGCATTAAAAATTAGTTTGAGTAATTAAAAATTACTCTGATAATACTGTACAGGGAAAAAAAATACAAGCCAATATATTCTCTAGAATCCCAGATGCAAAAATTTTCCTAAAATATGCCATACTGTTCTAAGCAGCTGTGCAAAAGAGACAGCAGGGACCCACATCAGATAGAAGTGGCCGAAATGGTACATTCTACACCAACATTAAGGTTCAATAATTTTAATCCCGAATATCTGCACAAAAGGTCAGACTGGAACACAGGTCTATGAAGTCCTTTCCCCGCATTTCTAAGGCAACAGACAAAGGACTCCAGTCCATTTTAATACTTCTACTCAGGATGGCACTGTGTGGCTTCATTCTGCCTACTGCCACCACAAAGTTTCGGTCATGCAAGCAACAAATTCCTAGAAAGGGCCCAAATTCTTTGCTATGCTAGGTTAGGACAATCTTCTTTAAGTTTCCATAGTACTTAACGGATTATTCATTTTTTATATGCTGTGCTTTCTTGTTACTTATTATTTAATCTATGTAGGTTTTCTCTGGGATGAACTATCTCTATATCCCTTCTCCCTTCCCAAAATCCAATCTAAAGGTGGTAGTGAGTAATCTTTTATGAAATTCAAATATTGTATAATCACATTACTACAATGTTGATGGCTTTCCACTGCTCTCAGGATAAAAGTTCAAACCACCTCAGCACCTCCCTTGTATGCCTACTTCTTCTCTCACGACCTTCCTTATTTTCACCAGTCTACTCCACAGAAGTTTATCCATTTACTCTTAAAATATTTGAAGACTACGATCATCATGCCCATCAGTCTTCTGATTTCTAGGCTAAGCAACTCCTGTTCCTTCAACCATTACTCACCCTCATGTGGTATCTACCCCTACCCTTTGCCTCCTAATTTAATAAATATCCATTCTAAAATGGGGCATCAGGGACTAGCACAGTCTCTTAGATGAGAACTAACAGGACTCTCTTGGGGATGTGATCCAGTCAGGCTGCAGCCCCAGCTAGCCCAGGAGAAGCCTAACAGAACCCCCCACACACCCACAGAAATGTAGGGACAGTGCTCCTAGTAATTCTGTGGGAAGCTAAATCTATCCCATTTTTCTTACTATGTCTGGGCAATGATCAAGACATAGGACACTCTGGTGATATATGTTAATATCTCCAAGCTGTTCGGTTTCCTTACCTGACAACCTTCTATTGTTTTCTCCCTGGTTACCAGACTCTTCTATATCCTACATCTCTTCTTTGAGCTGGTCATACCACAACTACCTCCCTTCCCCCAATTCTGCTACTAATTTAATTCAAATTATTATTTTTTTATATGGTGTGAGATAAGGGTCATTGTAATTTTTTCCCCAAACAGATATCCAGCTGCTGCAACATCATTTGTTAAAAACACATCTCCATCTCCAGGGCCTCGGCAGGGTAGCTTAGTTTGGTTAAGAGTGTCATCCCCATATGCCTAGGCAAAGGGTTTGATTTCCAGACAGGGTACATACAAGAAGCAACCAATGAATGCATAAATAAGTAGAACAACGAATTGATGTTCCTTTAGCGCACTCTTTAAAAAAAAAAAAAGGCCGCAGCAGCCCTGGCCAGTATGGCTCAGTGGATTGAGTGCAAAGGGTCACTGGTTCAATTCCCAGTTAGGGCACACGCCTGGGCTGTGGGTGAGGTCCCCAGTAGGGGGCACTTGTGAGGCAACCACACACTGATGTTTCTCTTCTCTTTCTCCTTCTTTTCCCCTCTCTCTCTAAAAATAAAGTCTTTAAAAAGAAAAAAAGATGATAAAGATATTCCTCCCTCCATTGTACTATACTGGCATTTTTGTTTTAAATCAGTATTTAAATGTGCCCATTATATATTCGCTATTCTTTTCATTTAAATTATATTTTATTGATTATACTATTAGAGTTGCCCCTCCACCCAGAGCCCCCTACTCACTCAATCCCCCCATTGTTCATGTCCACGGGTCACGTGTGTAAGTTCTCTGGCTACTCCATTTCCTATACTTACTTTATATCTCCATGGCTATTCTGTAACTACTTATTTCTACTTCTTAATCCCCTCACCTCACCTCTTCACCCATGCTCCTCCTCCCCCTCCCCATCTGGCAACCATCTGGTAACTAACTTCTTTGGCTGATTTTAAGAGTATCCCTTTATCTTTAATCTTTAGCTTTTTAATTATGATGTGTCTTGGAGTGGGCTTCTGTGCACCTAACATAACCGGGACTCTAAGTTTCCTGGATTTGCATGTCTATTTCCTTCACTAAATTAAGGAAGATTTCTTTCACTATTTTTTCAGATTTCCAATTTCTTGCTCCTACTTGGACCATTATGATCCGAATGTTAGACATCCTGAGGTTGTACCAGAGGCTGCTTATACTACCTCATTTTTTCAAAATTCTTTTTCCTTGTTCTGCGTGGTTATTTTTTGCTTCCTTATGTTCCAAATCATTGATTTTGTTCTCAGCTTCATCCACTCTACTGTTGTTTCCCTGTAAATTGTTCTTTATTCCAATTAGTGTATCCTTCATTTCTGACTGGGTCTTTTTTTATGCTGCTGAGGTCCTCACTAAGTTTCATGAGCATCCTCATAAACAATGCTTTTAACTCTGCATCTGATAGGTTATCTCCATTTTGTTAGCTTTTTCTGGAGTTTTTATCTGTTCTTTCATTTGGGCTGTTTGTCTCCTCGTTTTGGCAGCTTCCCTGTGTTTTTTTCTATGCATTAGGTAGAGATGCTTTGACTCTGTCTTGGTAGTGTGGCCTAATGTAGTTGGTGTCCTATAGGGTCCAGTACCATAGCTTTCCCCTATCACCCAAGCTGTGTACTTGTGGTATGCACTTTGTGTGGGCTGAGTACACTCCCCTCCTGTAGTTGAGCCTTGGCTGCTGTTGGCAGATCAATAGGAGGGATTTACCCAAACCAGTCAGCTGCAAGGATTGGCTGTGACCACTGACCACCAACCTCCGGTGTTCACAGAGAAATCAACTGCAGGGGCAGAGTGGTCATGCTACGATATGTCTGTTAGCTGTCTGCTGGGTGCACTGGCCCTGGGGTTTCCTGGGTGATGCAGGTCAAGGCCATACTCCATCTGTGGTCAGCCCAGGTCACCCTGCCTGAGCTGTAAAGAAATCTGTGAAGGCTGCTACTTGTGCTGGGCATGGAGATTCCCACATGAGGCCAAACTGTGAATCTAATCTTGATGTTGCTGGGGCTCACTGAAACCAGCTTGTGCTTGTTTGATAGGATTTTAGGAGCCAAGACCAGTCATTCTTATGGAAAAGCAGCTTGGGTGGGCCCATAAATTGGGGGTGGGGGGAGTGGCAGAGCCTCTGGGGATCTCCAAGGCAGGTCAAATAGTGTTAGCCAGGTTGATGGAGTCTCAGATATGGCACCAGCTTGCTGGCTCTGTGGGGTAAGGGTTCAGCAAAGTGACAATGACCTCTAAGCAGAGGCCATTGATGCCAGATACGTCAGTTTCTCCCTCTATACCACTGTTGCCTCCCAAGCTGCTACTATGATGCTGGAACTCAGAGGACGCGAGTCTCAGTAGGTGAGTCTATGTGTGGGTTAAGATGAACTGCTTGGGGCTCCAGTAGTTTCTTCCACGGACTTTTTGTAGCCAGAAGTTGTGGGGACATCACTGGATTTCCAGGTACTGGAATCTTGGGCTGGGGGTCTGGGACTCCTCACTCCCAAGATATACCCCCTTCCCCAATTTTTATCCATGTGGGTTTGGAGCCAGCCTGTTCTATGTCTGGCCCCTTCTATCAGTCTGGATGGATGTGGCTTCTTCAGTTCCATAGTTGTCAAACTTCCACTCAACTCAATTCCATTGTTGTCAGTCTTCCCACTCAACTCAATTTTGTGATTGTCAGACTTCCATTTAGCTCAATTTCTGATGTTTCTCAGTGATGGCTGTTCTATATTTTAGTTGTATTTTTGATATGGTTGTGTGAAAAGACGAGCCATATCTGCCCATGACGCCATCTTGACCAGAAGTCTGTACTTAACTATTCTTTACTCTTGTATTTGTGTTAACAATTCACTGTTCTGATTATTATAAATTTATAGTAAATCTTGAAACTGAGTAAAAATCTCAAATTTTCATCCTCTTCAAGACTGTTTTGGTTATTCTAGGTTTTGTATTTCCATAAAATTAATCAGTGTGTCAATTACTATTTAAAAAATATCTGATGGAGCCCTGGCTGGTGTGGCTTAGTGAACTGAGTGCTGTCCTGTGACCAAAGTGCCGCTGGTTCGATTCCCAGTCAGGGCACATGCCTGGACTGTGGGCCATTTCCTCAGTAGTGCATGCATGAGAGGCAACCACACAATGACGTTTCTCTCCCTCCCTCCCTTCCCCTTTCTCTAAAAATAAAATCTTAAAAAAAAAAAAAAATCTGATGGGATTTTGATCAGGGTTATGTTCAACCTGTAAATCAGTTTTGGGGGAAAAATCATCTTGCCCTAGCTGGTGTGGCTCAGTGGACTGAGCGCTGTCCTGTGGACCAAAAGGTTACCGGTTTGGTTCCTGGTCAGGGCACATGCCTGGGTTATGGGCCAGGTACCCCTAGTTGAGGGTGTGTGAAGCAACTGATTGATGCACCTTTCACACACTGATGTTTCTCTTCCTCTCTTTGTCTAAAAACAAATACATAAAATCTTAAAAAAAAAAAGAAAAAAATCATCTTAAAGATATTGAGTCTTGCAACACATAAGTATGAACTTACTTTCCATTGATTTAGATCTTTAATTTCCCTCAGCAATATTCTGTGGTTTTCACTGTAGAGCAGTGTTCTTACCTTCAAAACTACTGACATTTTTGGTCAGATCAT